AAGGGTAGCTATTTACTTCCTATATAACGTATCCCGATATTAATACTTCGCTAAAATATACCTCGCAATGGAACGTTACTTTAATACAGAATAAAATAAGGTCTAATATTATTACGATTAAACGGCTATTACCTTTTATAATACGAAAGCCGAGAAAGGTAACGAGGGTAAGTCGGACCTAAAGGTACTCCAAGCGATGCTAGATAAACTAGCCTTATATTAAAGGGTACTTAGTCCCGACTTTAAAGGGGAATAATAATTAATCGCCGCCGTTTATCGAGCCTACCGTAACGTTCCCTAATTATAGCATGCTCTTTTCGAACCTTCCATACGTTTCGAAGACATAGCTAACAAGCTCCGTACTTCGATTAATACCTATAAGAATCTCAAAGGAATACGCTAGTTTACTATGAATTAGGATAGCGATAACGACGAAGAAAACGACTAATATTACGTCGACCGTAAATACTACCGTAATAATAAAGGAGGTAAATATTACGATAATAAGAAGGAAAAAGGCCGCTTCGGATAATAACGAGCGTAGAAAAGAAAGTACTAGATATATAAGAAGAAGGGATACTAATTTACTAAATATTCCGAGAAGGAAAGGAAGGAGGTAAAGGCGCGATAGAAGGATAATAAAGATAGGTTTAAGGGTAATTATACGACGTTCCTAGCCGATTACGAAAGGATCGACGAATAAAAAAAAAACTTAAGAACTAAATAAAATAACGAACTCGGTACCGACTAAACGCCCGATAACGATAATAAGTAATATATAACCGCCGTTTACCTATCCGACTAGGTATTCCGATACCGCGTTACCTCGTACTCCTTATAGGAAACGACCGGTATCGGTAATACCGTTTTCCTCCTCGACCGATACTCTAAGGATATCTTTTAAGGCATTATATTAAATATAGGTACGGTAAGAATATCTACCGCCGGCAAGGGATAATACCTTACTCTCGCCCGGGAATACCCGGAATAACGGCTTAAGATTAATAATACCCGAGCGGGGAAGGCGAATATCCGGTTCGGGAACGGATTACTTATAAGCTCCTTAAGGGCCGTAATAATTAACATACCGTTCGGATATATCGACTTTTACGTAATAAAAATAGATATCTTATTCCTACTTTCTATTAAGGATATAAATCGATTAAGCGTATACCTTAATAATATTACGGATTAGTTAATCTATAGGAATAAAGTAACGATACCTATCGTTCGTAAATAAGGATACCCTTAGTTCTACTTTACTAACGTTACCTTCTTTACGGAGGTAGAACTACGACGAATCTATACCCGCTTCGGGTACCTATTAGTTAATAAATTATATGATTTACTCGATAAGGCCGGCTACGACGTCGCCATTAAAAACATTAAGGCTATTAATAAGTTTTGCTACTACTACTAGGTAAAAGGTACATTATTACGAAGATTTAGGTTTAGCCTTAAGGACCCCGACTTAAACTTTAATTACGAGGTCGTCGCCGACGTTATATATCTAGAAGGACGGCTTATACTCTATCTAATTAATACGGTAATAAGCTTCTAGGTAGCCCGATTCCTTAAGGACATATTAGCTAAGGAAACGTAAAATATTCTAAAGCTATATTAGATCGATACTTGCTTAGGCCCTCCCGATATTCTAACCTACGACGCTAATATAAACTTCGATAGTACGGAATTTAAGAATAAAGCCCGGTTAACCGGCGTTACTTATAAATAGATCTTAATAAAGGCCTATTAATCCATCGGTAAGGTTAAGGAATACCATGGCCTAGTCCGACGAGCATACGAGATCCTTATGGAAGAAGGAACCATCGGATTAAAGGAAGTACGTCTGTAAATAGTAGTTAAGGCCGTTAACAATACGGTAAACCTAGATGGCCTAGTCCTTACGCTACTTATTTTCGGGACGTACTTTAAAATTAGTATGGACTTATTACTTACGGCGTCGCAAATATAAAGAGCCTAAGTAATTTAAAAAGTAATGGTAGAAGTTAAGAGGATCAAGGTATAGAGGTCCATCCGGGACGCCCTTAATATACGTAATGGATTAAATACCTTACGGACCTTCCCGGGATTATTAATACTAGGTAGCGAAGTATTAGTCTTCCGAGAAAAGGGCGGATAGAAAGGACCGTATAAGGTTATCGCTATTACGGATAAAGATATAATAGTTACGACGTTAGGAAGTACCTCGACCTTTAGGAGCTCCTACGTTAAACCGTACGCCCGACTTAAGGAAGAGTTAATACCGGATAAGGAACTATAGGTTAAACTCCTACGCCGCGCGATTAATCCGGAGGAATACGAGATTATTCCGGAGGAAGAATTAAATATAATATATATTAGCGTAAAAGAAAAGAACGATTATACCCTAGTACTAAGGCTACGAGCTACGGGTAAGATCGTTATCCCTAGCAAACCTTACGAAGCGTTTAACTTAAAGGAACTAAACGCGTTCTTTGATAAAAGCATTCTCTAACCCGAGATATACGACTATACGGTTTATTAAGGAGCTACTATCTTTAAGTTACGTATAGTTCGTAAGATTAAAGGTAAGAATACCCTAATACTATACGAGAAATCCCGATTAGTAGTTTAAGGTTATAAAAACCGCGAGAAGAAATCTATTATAACCTACGCCCCTACCATCTAAAGGATAAGCTAAAGGTTAATCCTAGTACTATCCTTAATACTCCGATAACTTAGGATAAAGATAATAATCCGAGATATTATAATGGCATATACTTAATTAAAAACGCTAATGTAACGAACGATTTTCGTACGCCTACTACCGGAACTAAAAAATAAATACCCCGAGGAAACGCTATTACGCGTCGTTAAGCCGTTATATAGGCTCGTAAAGGCAGGTACGTATTAGTTCGAGACCTACTCGAGGTACCATTAACGGGAATTAAAAATAAAACCATTAGCGTTCGACCCGTACCTATTAATTACGGACGTCGGATAACCCTTCGGAATAATAGGCCTTTAGATAAATAATACCTTAAATATCGGTACGAGGGAATTCCTCGAATAAGAAAACAAGGTACTTACGAAAGCGGGAATTAAAGTAAAGCCCTAGAAGACTCTAGAACCGGGGGCATTAGAAGATTTTAACGGGTTACGTATAAAGCTTTATAACGAGGGATATGGAATCTCGGTAATTTAAAAGAGGTAAGCTAAGAAACTAGAACTACTAGACCTAAAAATACTAAATCTCGCTAAGAAATTCGTTAAATAACGGGTACGGGAAGCGTATATCTCCTCGATCTATTAACCTAAAGTAACCTTCGATTACTCTACGGCCGCGTAATACGTTAACCCCGGGACCAAGGAAGCGAAGGCTCTTAATACGAGGATTAATTAGTAAATAATTAATAAAGACTAAGGTCTTAGCTATATTACCCTCGACCCTACGGACCTCCGCCTATATATCTTCGTAGACGGCTCTTTCGCTAATAATACGGATATAAGTTCGTAAATCGGCTACCTTATCGTCCTAGGTAATAAAGAACCATCGGCATTAAGTAATAACGGGCTCCGAATTACGGGTAATATCATATATTAATCCTCTACTAAATGCAAAAGGGTTACTCGGAACGTATTAGCAAGTAAGATATACGGAATAGTATAAGGCTTTAACGTTAGCTACGTCATTTACTACATAATTAACGTTATCCTTAACCGTCTCTCCCTCCTACGCGCTTCATTAGTATTATATACCGACTTACTATCGTTATACTAGTGTTTAATTTAAATAAGTAGTATTAACGAAAAGCGATTAATGATCGACTTAATAGCTTTACGGTAATCGTATAAGAATCGGGAGATTAATAATATTAGGTAGATCTATGGGAACTATAACTCGGCCGACGCTATAACGAAGGCATTATTAAATAAAGCCATAAGGACTTTAGTAAAGGAGAATCGTATTAACCTAAGGTTAAAAGGATAGGTAAAACGGGAATAATGGTTCATAATTAACGACTATTAATTACGAAAAGAAAACAGAGTAAGTAATGGTTTATTAGTAATTAAGGATAACGTAGGTACCTTCGTACCTACGTAGGATATAAGGAACGATCTTCCTATCCTTCTTAGATAGATAGCTCCTAAGAACAGATATCTTAATATAACCAGTCTTACCTACTTATTTCATACTGTCTTTATTCACTTACTTTATTACGTACGTATACCTACCAACAACTATAATGAGAATTATTATATATTATAAATAAACTTTATAACATTATTTTTATTCCTATTATTCCTTATTATAGGTTTTAAATTTTGGTTTATATTCTTTTATATCTTCTTTTATTAACTTATAATTAAAATAAATCAATCTTTACTTATTAAATTTAATTAACATTTTCCTTTTTTAAGCTTTATGTTATTTTATAAAAATAATATTTTAAATTAGTTTTACATTAGGTTTCTTTTTTATATATTATAATGTCACGTGGAAATTGAACTAGTCCTTATATGTCTACATACCGCAAAGCGTATCGTAGGCGTCTACGTTTTACGCAACATATAAGTATTAATTCTAATACCTATAAAATAATTCAATTTTATCAATAAACTACATTATTATATCACATATAACTATTATAATTAACTTTTTTAAAATATAAATTAATAGTATTTAATATATATAATATAATATAATAAGAATATTATAATTCTTTTATATAATAATAAACTTTTACATGATAGTCAATCTTGTAATAATATAATAGCTCGATTTTTTTGATTTTTTTTATAAAATAGCTTCTACACTAATCTACACCTTCATAGTGCCAACTTCCCAGCAGCCCCAAAATATCAAGCTGAGCCTCGTCGATCATTTAATATCGTTCATTCCCCCTACGTCGGCCACCTCAGTCGCGGAATACCTTCTATAATTGACTTTTCTTTTATTATTCGTCGCTCTTGATTTGCGAAGCCAGGCGGAATAGGTGGGTTCATAGTCAGACACGATGCTGGCTTGTCGTTTAATACCGCGGACTGTCGTCCGATCTTCTCTCCGCCCGCCTTCATCGTAAGTGGTAGCCGAGCGTTCAACGCCAAGGAAAACATCTCAGTCGCCGACTAACCCGTGCCTTTCTCTTCGACTTAGACTTCCATCAGTCATCGTCCCCGTCTCGCGATGGAGACGGGGATATGCTAGCCAAGCAGGTGGGCATTCCAGCTTTACTGTTCGCCCGTTCTTATCCCTGACTTGCGCGGTATAGAAGAAAAAGACCTCGTAATCATTGGTGGTGGAGTGGCTGGATATGTAGCCGCGATCAAGGCTGGGCAAGAAGGCTTGAAGGTGCGCCGTGTGAACGAGCAGGTTTTAGCTGCCGTCATGGCCGTTGTGTGGCCCTAGCCGCTAGATAAGAGGGTTAACTGACAAGGCACTCTAACCCCGTTATTAGGTCACCTGCATTGAGAAACGTGGCGTACTCGGCGGCACCTGTCTCAACGTGGGCTGCATACCTTCGAAGTCACTCCTCAACAACTCGCATCTATACCACCAAATTCTCCACGATAGCAAACCACGGGGAATCGAGGTTGGTGATGTGAAGCTCAACCTACAGGCTATGATGAAGGCCAAGGAAACGTCTGTTTCGGGCCTGACCAAGGGTATCGAATACCTCTTCAAGAAAAACGGCGTTGAATATATCAAGGGAACCGGTTCTTTCGCCAGTGAGCACGAAATTAAGGTTCAGCTCAACGATGGCGGTGAGACGAGCGTCGTCGGCAAGAACATACTTATTGCTACCGGCAGTGAGGCAACCCCATTCCCCGGACTCGATGTTGACGAGAAGCGTGTTGTCACAAGCACCGGAGCCCTGTCTCTGGAAAAGATCCCCGAGAAGATGATCGTTATCGGTGGTGGTATCATTGGCCTCGAGATGGGCTCCGTATGGTCGAGGCTAGGCGCCAAGGTCACTGTTGTCGAATTCCTGGATCAGATCGGTGGTCCCGGCATGGACACCCAGGTGGCGAAAGAAGCACAGAAACTCCTCAAAAGGCAGGGCATAGAGTTCAAGCTCGGCACTAAGGTTGTGAGCGGCGACAAGAACGGCAACAACATTAAACTGGAGGTCGACTCCGCTAAGGGCGGTAGGCCTGAAACCGTAAGTTCCGCCTTATCTATGCTCACGTAGGGTGCCTATGTAGCCTTCCACCTTCTAACACCCTAATTCTCTAACTCGTCGAATAGCTCGAGGCAGACGTTGTACTGGTTGCCATTGGCCGTCGCCCATACACTACGGGCCTCGGTCTGGAAGACATCGGTTTAGAGCTTGACGAACGTGGTCGCGTTGTCATCGACTCGGAATATCGCACGAAGCTGTCGCATATCCGCAGCATCGGTGACTGCACCTTCGGCCCTATGCTCGCGCATAAGGCCGAGGAGGAAGCCGTCGCCGCTGTCGAGTACATCAAAAAGGGGTATGGTCACGTCAACTATGGTGTGATCCCATCCGTAATGTACACTTATCCCGAGGTCGCGTGGGTTGGCCAGAATGAGCAGGAACTAAAAAAGGGTAATATCCCCTACAAGGTGGGAACGTTTCCCTTCAGCGCCAACTCGCGCGCAAAGACCAACCTAGACACGGACGGCTTGGTCAAGATGATCGCGGACCCCGAGACAGATAGGCTGCTGGGTTGCCACATCATCGGACCCAATGCTGGCGAGATGATAGCTGAGGCTACCCTAGCCTTGGAATACGGCGCATCGACTGAGGACATTGCCCGCACGTGTCATGCCCACCCGACGCTGGCAGAGGCATTTAAGGAGGCGGCTATGGCGACCTACTCAAAGGCCATCCACTTCTAATGAGTGTAAAAATAAAGCGGATAGACGGGGAAGCCCAACATCGGGCGGGCTAGCGTACCGGTGTAAAGGTGTACACTAAAACCCTTGTGAGCAACGTGAACTAGGTATACTCATTAGATCATCTTGAGATAGGGGTGTCTCAGTCCGTGCCAATAATCCTCGGGATAGTATCATACGCATATTATACTCTTCACCCAGTTTTCGCTTATAAATAAAGCTCTTTTCAGTTTACGAATCTAACTATTTTCCGTCTCTATATACGAATGCATCCTTTCTCTTTCACTATGAGTGATCTTGGAGGCGGGTGTTCCTATCAAAGATACAAACGGACTACACATAGGTCAATAACAACGAGGTAGTACCTCAAGTCCCCGAGATTAGGAGAAAAGAGGAAGAATGCATTATTGGGCTCCGGTACTTGCCCGGAGACGGATATGAAATTAGTCGACCTACCAGTTTGGACGAGGTTTAGGTATACTTTCAACAACTATCCCCTGCAGTCCGCGAGAGGGTTATTTAAAAATGCCAAATATCGGGACGATTCGTTAACAAAACTTGGCTTGTCCTAGCATCTGGTAATACACTTCCCCTGTAAGGAAACCTGACCCAACCCTCTGGAAAACAGACAGGGCAAAGGTAGTAGCTGAGAACGATTGTGGCAAGCTGTATTGAACTACCATAAGTATTCTATGTTAGCACTTGATATATAGGAATCTAGAGGTGTACGGCTAGATTTCCTGGTTGATAGGTATTGGCGAGACATACGCAATGGCCGCGTAGCCGGTGGTGGCATTGAATTCCGGTGAGGGATTGTCGCTACAATACACCCAGTTTCCTCTCTTCCTCCTCGCTCGGCCCCAAATTTTTTTTTAAATCTATCCGCTGCCATGGCACTCTTCAGCAACCTGGAGCGCCCTCAAGAAGACAGATGGCAAGTCGTCTTCAAGCCCGACACTGACCCGAAGTAGGTTCGGGTCGACTCCAAAACTTGCCGCCCATTCCAGCTCTTGATAATGTGCCAGAACCACATAGGGCGATGTTAGCGTAAAATTTGTTCCAAGGCTTGGACCCTTAGCCGTCTCGAGGGCGTCGTAGAACGCCACAGCATGGGCCTTGGTCTTGAGCGTGCACGACAAAAGACCACCATATCCCCCATTCGGCAACCTGCAAGCCTCGTAGTTGGGCCGGGATTCGTTATACTTGGGATAATAGACTTGGGTGACCAAAGGATGCGCGTTCAAAACCTCGCAGATGGCCTCGGCATTAGCGTTGACCCTATCGATCCTCGATTCAAAGTCGCGACTATTCCTCTCCATAAAGATTACGTCCTCAGCCCAATACGTGTCTTCGAACTCACTCGTCATGACGGATTTCAGGGACAGGTAGTATCGACTATTCGGATTCAGGATGATGCTACCACCCATAACGTTGCAATCCCCGGAGAAGATCTTAGTCAGACTACTCACGACAACGTCGGCGAAAGGCAGTACGTTCACGTTGACGAACGTGCCGACCGTCTCATCCACGACCACCGCAAAGTCGTACGCGTCTGCCAGTTGCCGGATGCGGGCCAGGTCGGGGCAGGTTAATAAGGGGTTGCCGGGGAATTCGCAGAAGAGGCCAAGGAATCTCTCCCCGCCCTTGAGGCGGTTCTCGAGGTCGTCAAGGTCGGCCTGGGTGCCTCGGCCATAAAATGTGGCGCCGGGGCCAAATTTCTGGAGGATCTTGAGGGTATCAACGTAGGGGAATCCGAAGTTGACGCTCTTCCGGGGCTCACGTGCTCTGAGGAGGGTCTGGTGCGTTGTAAAAATCGCATTCATACCGCAGGGCACCAGATATATATCGTCTTCCTTGAAATTTGATATCCCGCGGGCGTTTGAGTCCATGGCCGGTAGCGTGGTTGTGCTGTCAAGCTCGATGTCGGTCGTCAGGACGCCGGCGATGCGGCGTCTTATGGCTGACTTCGCATTCGGAACCAGGGAGACGTCAAGATTCCGCCCATAGCGTTCCTCTAGGAATTTTGACGTTTCCATCGTGTCGGTTGAGTGGCCATCGGCGGAAGACACATCGGCGCCGACAGAATAATGGCGACGGCTGTTGAAATCGTTGTCGTCGTCGCCAATAGAGGCGGTTCGCCTATATCTTCTCGGCCCACGGCCTAGCTTTTGCTGTGATGGAACGGGCGAGGGTAATTTGTCCTCGGGGATTAGTATGCCCTCCTTGAATAGCGCGTGGCAGAACTCGGCACGCCGGCTCGAAACACCGTCTCCAGAATGTTGCCAATACTGTTTTGCAAAGGGGTATGCCGTGGCGGTGCAGAGGACGGCGGAGATGGACGGCAGGACAGCCTGAAGGGCATCGGGTGGCTTCTTAGCCGGATCGAGGACGAGGCGGATAGTATCTAGGTTTACCAAGGCGGACGGTGAGGCTTTGTCCCGGATGAAGTTGAGACATCGGCCGGCGGCCTTCCTGGTGGGGAATAATATAGCGTGCTGTCCGGCAGTCCCGTGGCTGCTAACAATGTCCCGACTGAAGGCCTGGATGCTCTTGTGGATGAAGAACCTGGGGTAGCCAGTCGTCATAGCGTCGACGACCCATTGTTCGCCCTCTTCATACCCCACGTTGGCTTTCCACGTGGGAAGCGAGACGCTCACAGCCTGGCGAAAATACGTCAGGAGACATCGCAATTGTACGTGGCAAGATCATACGATAACTCACATGAGCGGTATTAGGAGGTATCGAATCCCCTAATTCGATTAATGGCATCTTGACAGGAGATGGGTATTTGTTCCTCTCTGTTGGTCGGGTTTATACGTGTACTCAACGCTGCGCTGTTCTCCACCTCGTACACAATACGAAGGGGCATAGAGCTTCTGGTGTCATCGAGCAGTTACGTCCGACGCCGGCCGTTGTCTAGTGAGATATTGACTGAGTCGAATATACCCCCCGGCCTATAGGTTCGAAGGTGTACATAATGATATCAGTGCCGAGATCGGAGGTAGAAATTTCCAGGAGAGCCTTGAGAACAGGTACTAAGGAGAATTAGTTAACATCAGACACTAAGAACTAAAATAGTTATTTAATTAATTAATTACGTTATGATAAATCTACTTAAAACCAAGCTTTATATAAAATAATTAATTATAATATACTATAAAGTAACGAATTTTATTAAGTATTTTTTCTTATATTAGCTAACCTTTTTATTATTTTATCTTTCATCATTTGCTTTATATATATATACATTCTAAAATATATAGTATTATATTTTTAATAATTTATTTTTAATAATTTATTTTCTATAATTTATTTTTTATAATTTATTTTTATAAGAATTATTAATGTATTTATTTTATGAAATCTTTTTTACTAAATACTTTTATATTATTCAATAAAAGATAATTATATAAAATAATAAAAATGAATAATAGAAGAAGATATTAGTATAGTTTATATTAATAATTATGATAAATTTACTAAGAAAAGCTAGTTTTATATTATTAAAAAAAAAATACTAAATCTATATTATAAAATAATTAGGATATATCAAACAAATTCTCTTATAAAAAATCCTATTTTATTATTAATTAAGAGAAAAAAGGTTAAATAAATAAAACATTTTAAATTTAATTAAGTAAATTTATTTATAATAAGAAAGTATTGAAATATATTAATAAAAATAACTCTTTTAAAAGAAAATAAGTTATAAAACACTTAATATGTACGAAATATTTTAATAATATAGTAAGGTATAACTTTTTAATATATTACGTAATATACTATAATATTATATATATCTATATAAAGTAAATATAGCTTCTATAAATATGAACTATATTATAAGTATCCAAAAATTAAATTACTAACTTTCCTATTTTTATTTTTATTTGAATTTTTTTTTTTTATTAAATTCATTGTTTTTTAATTAATATATCTATTTTAATTATAAGCGCTTTAATTTCTTCATTATACAGTAATAATTAATTAAATAACTTTTATATTTAATACTTTTATCTTTTTTACTCTCTTTATATTAAGATTAGTAACTATTATAAACCTATAAACGTAAGCTAGACTTAAGATACGATAATTATATTAAATTCTTTATCTTTAGATTAATAAATTACTATTAATCTTATTTATTTTAAACTTTTAAACATGTTATAATCATTATATTATATATATTGAAAGACCTACATAGGAACTAAGGTTGCTCTACATTAAGAGTAACAGAAGGTAGAAAGGAGAAGATGAATTAATTAACCAGGGACCTAAAAGAGGGAAAAAAGAGTTATAGTTTTTATTATAGAAGTAAATTAAGAGTTGAGTTCAGTAAACAAGTAATTAAAAAAAGTAAAAACTTATATATAGTTAATTTTTTATATAACATATTCTTAGTTAAGTTTACAAAAGCGAGTTTTTAGAAAATTAATAGCTTAATTAAAGTACTTATAATAATGTTACGGTTTGAAAAGTTATTCGTTAAGTAAAAGCTGTATATTAACAATTTAAAGTTAAATGAAGAAAAAAAAAGTACGCCCTTATAAGCCGTACTTATAACTATTAACTTTATATTAAGGAATTAATTACATACTATACCTCAACATTAATTAACGCCTTCTAATGAATACAGTTTATAATATAAAGTTATTTCTTGAAAAATAATATTTTATCTTTTTTTCCTTTAGCATTTAATAGTAATTATAACTCAACCTGCGGTTTCTTTCTGCGCTTTAGAATACGTACCGTATCTTTAGATATTACCTTCGTTCTTGAGATTACGTTATCCGTTCTTAGAATTATTTTTTTCTTTTCGTAAAGTATTATTATTTCTTTAAGGTACCTTCCTCTTCCTTAGCTATTATATTATATTCCGGGGTCTCCTTTTTCTTTCGGGATAAGTTAATCGCTTTCCGGGTTATTATTTTCATTCATTAAAATATTATTACTTCTCGAAGCTTTTTTTATTTATTTCTTTCTCAGAGTTTTTCGTTACCCAGAATATTATCACGTTTCGAATACCTTTAACCTCCCGATATATTCTTTTCTCAATTACTACTCTTTCCCAGGAGTTCCTTTTATCTGTTTATCCGTGGGTTACTTCGTATTTCTAGGTATTATCTCCGTTCTCTAATGTATTATTATTTTCCAGAACGTTTCTTTTTTAATTCTTCGGGGGTTATTTATTTATCGAATACGCTTTCCTGGTAATTAGTCTTTCTCAGAGCCTTCTATTTATCTTCCTTACTGGGTTTTTAATTTTCTTAAGGAATTACATGTTCTTTAATATATTATTATTATCCGAGATACTTTTTTTACCTCCAAGGAAATAAATATTTTCCTCAGCTATCGCTCATATCCCGTGATACCTTGTTTATTTTTCGAGCTATCATTTCCGTTTCCTAGGATATTATTATTTCTCAATGCTTTCTTTCTTTTCCTAAGGTATTATTACATTCCGGGTATCATTTAACCCTTTGATATATCTCTTTAAAGTTACCGTCCCGGTACTTTCATTAAATTATAAAGCTTTAAAATTTAAAATTTAAAATTATACAGAAAGCGTTTATTAAGTTTAAGTTGAGTTTTATAACTCCGGAGGTATCGATTCGTTTACTGCCATTTAAAGATTAACAACTTATTTTTTTTTTGTTTATGAAATCTTTTAAATTCTGTTCAAAAACTTATTAAAATACGCTTTTCCATTTATTGTTATAAGGCTTCAGGCCTTTTTTACTATTTAAAGGCTAAGAATTTATCTGTATTATTAACAAAACCGTATAACTCTCCTAGAAAGCGTATTGAATACGCCGTTCTTGCCCGTTTAAAGATTATCGTTTATCTGTTTGTTAAAAGCTAAAAGCTAATCTATTCGTTAGCTGAATCCTTTGGGCTTTATTTAAAAATGTATTAAAACGCATCTTTCTATTTATTATTAACGCCTTTAACGCTTTTATTGATATTATTAAAAGTCCTAAGGCTTTTTCTTTCATTAACGTCTTTAACGTTTTTATCGAAGTATTGTTATCTTAATTAAACCTATTATTTCTTATTATTTTAACGTCGTTTCTGTTCTATATTACGCCTTGGGCGTTCTTTTTTCGCGCCTTAAGCGCGGCTTAACTCTATTAAGCATTAAGCTTTAACGCTTTATTATCTCTCTTTAGGAAAAGCTTTTCTGCCTTTTTTAAGTATTGATTTCGTCGATTTCCTCGTTCTTTTATTTCGAAATTATTGTTTAAATTACGTTGTCTTTAAGTTATATCAGTCGTTTCTTTAGTTATTCTTTATCAGTTCTCTTTTGTAAGTACTACAGACGCGTATATTCAAATGCTTATACCGCTTTTCTGATTATTAACGTAATTAATTGCCACTTCCTGAAGTATTAATATCGTCTTCCTTGTTATTAATTTTAATAGTTAAGATATAAATCTATTATCTATTTTCTATAGAAATCTTTTAGTAAGTATTATAGTAGTACGGTAAGACATACTATAACCGTACTATACTTATTGGTATTACTAGCTAGTAATACTACTTACCTTAATATATTAAGAAGTCGATTATAGTTATATAGCCTATACTTTATATACGTTATAATATCGTAGTATAAGGTATTTATTAAATATCACGTAAGCATGCGCCTCTAGTAGGAACCACCCAGCTTACCTAAGCTGGTTAAGCACTTCTATATATACTCGTAAATTACTCTATACTCTCTAGTAGCTTTCCTTCTTTTCTAGTTAATCAATATATACCTTCTTACCCGCATTCCATTACTTCCTTTACGCGTAACCTAGCAAGCTACACGTAGCTCTCGCTAGTTACGTAATAGTTATAAGCCTAGGATACTTCTAAGAAGCTATTATTACTTAGGTTATTCTAGTGTAAATAAACATCGCATATTTATTCATCTCTTAGATCTTACGATTATTCTTCCTTTTTATTTCTATACCGGTACTCTACTCTTGTATTAAATATTAAATAATTACTTACCTATTTACTATAACGACTAATACGTCCGAATTCTTTCTAGATAAGATTCTAGTTAACGTTTACTTACGAGCTTACGATAAGTAGCTACGTTAGTTCCTTACGCTTAAGTCGATAGCTACTTAGTTCGGTATCTAAAAGGACGTTAATCTAAATAAAGTTAAGTTTAACCCTGGTCGAGTAATAGTAGGCATTCTTAAGGAGTATATTACTTAAGAAAACGCTCTCCTTAAAGAAAACTATAAAAAGGCAATCTACGAATAGGTATTAATCGAAACCGAAAACCGAGGAAATTAATTAGTAAGGCCTAAGGCTTAAACTCGAGAACAATAAATAGCTTCGTATAATAAGCTCGTTTCTTAGTAAATAACAATCGAGGCTTAGGTTATAGCTACTAATAAGTAATATAAGGTTCTCTATAACTAGATTCTCGCATCTATCTTTATAGGCTTTCTTAAAATAGCTAATATAAAGATCTAATTCCTAAACCTCGACCCTGTTACGGTTTTACGAGCTATTTGCTAGGTAAAAGCCGTATATTGATAAACTAAAGCTAAACGAAAAGGAAAAGAAGAAAAAGGTATACTGTTACGTAGATCGGGAGAGCTACGTGGGCACTGAGGTTGCTTCTTGGGAGCAACGGAAGGTGGGAAGAAGAAGGTGAATTGACTGACTATCTAAAAAGGAAGGAGATGAACAAAGGAGATGCGAGCTACCTATATATAGACGATAGGGAGCTGCGAGCTATATTATATAAGCGAGCTGGGAGCTATGTTAGGTAAGTGAGCAACTAGAGAAGAAGTAGGGCGCCATGTATAGGTGGCTCTCTACGTTACATATACCTTATAGGCCGTACCTATAACTACTAGCCTTATCCTCCGTAGGTACTAATTACGTAGTAAGCCTTAGCATTAGCTAAGGCCTTACGATAAGTATAGCTTAATATATAAGGTCCCCTTCCGGAAAAAAAAAGTATGCCCTACCGCCCTTTTTCTTCGGCGTCTAGCCCTAATAACCTAACTCGTTTTCTCCGCGCTTTAGAATACGTATCGTATTCTTAGGTATTACCTCCGTTTCCCGGGATACGTTACTCGCTCCTTGAGTTATTAATTCCGTCTCTTAAGGTATTAATATATCCCTAGGGCCTCCTCCTCTTCCGTTCGTTCGTTTCCCGGGGTATAATACCTTACGGGTATAGCCTCCTTCCTTTCCTCCCCGGCGGTTATATTATATCCCGGGGTCTCTTCCTCCGTCGTTTTCTTCCCGGGGCCTTTCGTTTCCCAGGGTACTATACCGGGTACCTCTAGCCTTCCGGCGCTCTTCCTCCGGGTCCTACTCTTCCCCGGGATCTCTTCCTCGTTCTCCTCCTTCCTTTTTCTCCGTAGGTCTCCCGGGTTTCTTCGCCTACCGGGTACGCCTTCCCGGTAACTACTCCTCCTAAAAGCTCTTTCTCCTTATCCTTTTCCTCTTAAAATACTACCGACGCTCCGGATATTATCTAGCCCTCCGGTATATTATTTCCTTAAGGCCGCCGTTTCCGTTTCCCGGGTTACGTTATTCGTTTCCCGGGTTATTATCTTCGTTTCCCGAGATATTACTACTTTTTAAAGCTTTCTTTTTTTTCCTAAGGTATTATTACTTCCCTAAGGTTATTAATTCTAATCCTTTTATTAAACCGTAAAGTTTTAAAGCCCTACGTACAAAGTCGTATATAAGCGCTTATTAGGTTAAGCCTAACTTCCGTAGCTACGGAATCGTCGGTCCGCTTACCGCCGTTTAAAGACCTTCGTTTATCTTTCGTTAGCAGAGTTAAGGGCTCCGCTTAAAAGCATATTAAAGTACGCCTTCCCGTTTATTATTAAAAGGCCTAAGGCTTTTCTTATTATTTAAAGGCTAAGGGCTTATCCGTATTACTAACGAAGCCGCGAAGTTCCGCCGGAAGACGTATTAAGGTACGCCGTCCCTACTCGTTTAAAGACTATCATTTATCTATATATTATTAATGGAGTTCTTCGGGCTCCGCCTAAGGACGTATAAAGGTACGCCTTTCTGTTTATTACTAGCGCCGCTAACGCCTTTATCGAAGTATTATTATTCTAGCTAAAATTTTATTATATTTTCTATTATTTTAACGGTGTTTCTTTCTTATATTACGCTTCGGGCGTTCTTAACTCGCGCTTCGGGCGCGGCTTAATTCCGTAAGCGCTATACTTTAACGCTTTACTATCTTTCTTCGGGAAAAAGATTTTTCACCTTTTTTAGCTGTCGATTTCGTCGTTCTTTATCTCGAAATTACTATTTAAACTACGTTTTCTCGGGTTATCAGTCATTTCTTTAGTTATCTTATATCGGTCCTCGTCCGTAAGCTATTATTAACGCGTATATCTAAAAGCTAATACTACCTTTTTAATTACTAACTTAACCGGCTTAGGTATTAGTATCGCCTTTCCTATTATTAATCCCGCATATTAAGATATATTAATTTATTATTATCATTGGTCTTCTTTCGTAGGTATTACCTAGCGCATATATCTAAAACTAATACCGCCCTTTCGATTATTAACTTAACCGATTATCTTTTCTTTATATACCGGTATTACCTTTTCTTATTACTCATTCCGTTTATTAATATATTACTAAACCTTTACCTTTCGTCGGTCTTCTTCGTAAGTACTACCGGCGCGTATGTTTAAAACTAATACTGTCTTTCTAACTATTAACTTTACTAGCTACCGCCTCCTTAGGTACCATATCGCCGTTCCTATTATCAATCCCGCTCGCTTCGATATTAATGCCGTAAAACGATAAAAGAAGGTTAGTCTAGCTTTTTATCGCGGTTTTACGAGCCATTCGCTAGGTAAAAGCCGTATATTAATAAATTAAAGCTAAACGGAGAGGAAAAGAAGAAAAAGGTATGCATTATAAGCCGTACCTATAACTATTAGCCTTATCCTCCGTAGGTATTAATTACGTACTAAGCCCTGGCACTAGCTAAGGCCCTACGATAAGCACAGTCTAATATAGTTGATAAAGTGTACTTTTTCTGCTTTTTTCCCCATTTAGCTTTAAATTGTTAATATACGGCTTTTACTTAGCGAATAGCTTTTAAAACCGTAATAGTTATAAAGGAAACTAAATAATTTAATCGATAAATATTAGAAGCTAATCTAGTACTAGTTAATAAAATTTAAAGTATAAATAATTATGAACTATTAATTAATTAGCTATAAAATTAATTAATAGAAAAAATATATAAAAACTTTTATAAAAGGTTCTGTAGCATTATTTATGATAGAAAGATTATATAATAATAATTTAAATATACAACCTATGTAAATATATATAAAAAAGCTTATATAGCTTAATTTTACGATATTATTATAATAGCTATTTTTTAAGAAAACGTTTCCATAAAGAAAATAAGTTTTTATATCATAATGTTACGTAGATCGAGAGAGCTACGTAGGCACTGAGGTTACTTTTAAGAGTAACGAAATATGGAAAGAATAAGGTACATTAATTAACTATTTAAAAAGGAGGGAAATAAATAAAGGAGATTTAAGCTACCTATATATATATAATAAGAAGCTACAAGCTACGTTATATAAGCGAGTTAGGAGCTAGATTAAGTAAGTAAGCAACCAGAGAAAAAGTAAAGAGTTATATATAAGTAGCTCTCTACATAACATATAAGCATATACTTATTATCTAGCTTAAGTATTTTATTATAATTATATTTTAAATAATTAAAGTTACTTTAAGTCTTATAATAGTTATAGTATATAATATATTTTTATTTTAATCTAATAAAGTATTTATAAACTATTCATTTATTTACTAATAATAAATTAATTTTCAACATTAAATTATTCTTTAATTATAAATTTATTTATGTAAAATATTAATTATAAAAAAGTAGAATATTATTTTAATAATATATAAAGTCTATAGTTTACCGATGATGTGCCAACTAAGGCGTGAGGAAAACAGCTCTCTATATAACGTGTAGTATGCTTCGTTCCAGGACCTTCTCACAGGAGGACCGCCGTACTGTACACTGTAGGAAAATCACACGCCGTTACCATAACATCCAGCGACCGCTCCACAGAAGTCCGGGACATTAGCCCAAAAGCATCTTCCGAGGGTCCTCAATATACCCCTTGACCTTAACCAAGAACTGTACAGCTTCTCTACCGTCCAGTAAACGATGGTCGTAGGTCAAAGCAAGGTACATCATAGGTCGAACCTCGATCTTGCCATCAACGGCAACGGGCCGGTCCTTAATCGCGTGAAGGCCTAGCACAGCGCTCTGTGGCAGGTTGATGATGGGCGTGCCCATGAGGGAACCGAAGACTCCTCCATTGCTGATCGTAAACGTACCGCCAGCCATGTCCTCAATGGTAAGCTTACCATCCCTGGCTTTCTTTCCCATGTCGGCGATAGCCTTTTCGATTTCAACCATATCCATGGATTCAGCGTTCCGAACCACCGGTGTAACTAAGCCCTTTTCAGTCGCGACGGCGACACTAATGTCGACGTAGTCCCGGTACACAATGGTGTCACCGCCGTTCTCGCCCTCAATCGAGGCGTTGACAGCAGGAATATCCCGCATGGCTAAGACGCTTGCGCGGGAGAAAGCACTCATGAATCCGAGCTTCACACCGGTTTTCTTGAGGATCTCGTCCTTGTAAAGCTTGCGGAACTCCATCAGCGATGACATATCGACCTCGTTGAATGTTGTTAGAGATGCAGCCGTATTCTGGGACTGCTTTAGCCGTTCGGCGATCCGTAGCCGCATGCGATTCATCTTCACACGTCGCTCCTCTCTACTCCCGAATATAGGTCCAGAGCTAACAGAATTATCCTTTGTCGGCTGGGCTTTCTTGGGTGCAGGCTCCTTTATCGACTCTTGCGGCGGTGTAGGTTTGCCGGCCTCAGAGCTCGGCTCTGGCTGCGACTGCGGATAGGTTTTTTCTGGCTTGCCTTCGTCTCCCAGGGGTGCTGATCGAGAATTGGCGGAAGCGTCTTCCTTCCCAGGTGGCTCCCCGGCCCCGGAACTTGCACTGCGCTCTCCTAGCTCTATCTTCGCGATCTCCTGATCCAGGGTGACCGTATCTTCCTCGTTAGCAAGAAGCTCTATTAGTACACCGGAATCAGGCGCATTAACAGCGACATCAATCTACAATAATAGACGTTAGCACTCACACTTGACAGCAGGGGTCAGGCTGGCCGCATTGCATTACCTTGTCAGTCTCGATGGTTGCAATCTCCTCATCCCTCTGTACATAGTCGCCAACTTGCTTGGCCCATTGTTTGAGGGTGCCCTCGTTGATAGACTCAGCCATCTGCGGGACTTTTACGATGATCTGTGCATAGCTGCGAACTTGGGCCATGAGAAGAGGCAAAGGAAGCCCACCCCGTAACGGATGTTGCAACGCGGGCCGGCGCAGTATTCGTGCTGCGGTGAGGATATGTCTTGACATCATTGCGAAAGGGCAGACCTAATCTGCGGGCGCGGGAGAGAAAATCGTAAAACTTGCTAATAGCCGAGGATAATGATTGAAGGGAGGTGAAGGAATTTGTAGAAAACTAAACAAACGAGAAGAGACCGTAACTATAAGCGAAATGAATAAATATAAGTTAAATAAAAGTACTGAAAAGTGAGTTATTTAATAAAATACAAAATTTAGAAGTCTCAAAATAAAATTAATAAATATATTTCATTGTTAATAAAGATATATAAAAGGTATCTTAAAAATCTTTAAGAAAATAAATTAAATAAATTTAAAATATATTAAAATTTAAAAAAAATACTTCTATAAATTAATTTTGAAAATTTTAATCAGGAATAAAATAATTTATAGAACTTTCTATTTAATAAACTATATTTACAATATTATACTATTTATTACGTAGCTATAGGCTATACTTACATTAGACTATTTTTACTATACTGAAAAAACAATAAAACTTACTACTTTTAATTACGTATAACTATACGAATATATAATCTTAAACATTAAGATTTATTATATAAAACGTATACGTCTACATTTACGCTTTGCGGTACGTAGGTATAAAAACGCTAGTTAAATTACTACGTAACAAAACTTATAAGGTTTAAATTATTTTTCAAGCTCTTTACATAAATATAAGTTACATAGTACTAACCGTTTTTATAATTATAACATAGGTAATTTCAGTTGTATAAAAATTAAAATATAAATAATATTGAAGTATTTACAAATAATGTACAGAAATAAACTTATATTTTTAAAATGAATATATTTTATATAATATACGTATGCATATACATAAAATCTACACTTATAATTAAAAAAGAAATTTTATACTGATAATATGAAAACACTTTTAATATATTTTTAAAAATTAATAAAGATCTCTCTTTAATTACTAAACCTTCAAAATATGTATTATATATAACCAAGTATATAATATTTTAAAATAGAAGTTATCTATAAATTATATAAACTATTTTATGAAAAGATATTTTATATATAAATATTATAATGTAATTATTATATAGTTTTAACTTTTATATATCATATTTTCTAAATATATAATATTTATATATTTTCATATTTAATGAATAAAAAATGTTTTAAAAATATATTAATATATAATAGCTTTATTTTTAAAGCTTAGCTTGAGTTATATATATAATATTTTAAAAGAAAGGTACTAATATAATATATTAAAAATCCTACTTTTATTAAGTACGAATATATATCTATTATAAGTCGTTACATTTAAAAAAGAAACCTATACATATTTCAAGAGCTGAAAAGAATAATTAAAACAATATAACTTTTAACGTTTAAGATTATATATTTATATAGTTATAAATACTTAATAGTAGTAAGTTTGCTGTTTTTCAATTTAACAAAGGTAGCCTAAAAAGCGTACGACCCGTAGTTACGTAACAAATAGTATATATATATTATAAAATAATATAAATATTTAATACTTCTTAGTAAGTATTGTTTTAATATAATCTTTATCAATAAACTCTTTTAAAAAGAAAATTTTAAAGTTTTTTAAGAAATTTAGTTTAATAAAATATAAATAATTATTAATTTATAAATTTTTATATCTATTTATTATTTTATTTATGTTTTATAGATATTAGTTCTTTTATAATAGCTAGCTTTTTTTAGCTTATCCTATTTGGAGGATAGTTATAATACGTTAAATCTCTAGTTATATTAATTAATTACAGGGGTAAATTCCTTTATAAATAACCCTTTCAATATGGAGTTATTTTTAGGAGATATTCTATTTTTATTAGTTCGCAAACGCGTCATAGGTACCTGGGGGTAGGTGTACCCGGTAAGGGCCATGTGGTAAATAGAATCGAATTTCTTATTAGGAATATTCTTATAACTATCTAAAATCCTTACGTATATTTATTTCTACGTATATTTATTAATACGTTTATATATACATTTCTATTTCTGTTTATTTAACTTCTATTTATATTTGTATCTTATAATTTATTATTATATTCTATACTTAATTTAATTAAAATAAAGTTACTTAAAGTTAAAAGAAAATCGTAATTACAGATGAATTTAAGCTAATAGTTTATTGATTTATAAAACTATATTTAGTCTATTAAAAATTATATCTTTTGTTACGTAGCTGGCGAGAGCTACGTGTGGGTTGATAGGTTACGCGCAAAGGAAGTAATGGAATATAGGTAAGAAGGTATATATTAACTAAGTAGAAAGAAGGAAAGCTACTAGAGAGTATAGAGTAATCTACGGGTATATATAGTAATGCTTAATTAGCTTAGGTAAGCTAGGTGGTTCCTACTAGGGGTGCATGCCTACGTAACATACCCCCTAGTTGAGCTTACGATAGTGAGGTTAACTATAGTCCTTTGCTCGCGATGGTGGCCTAAGGGGGTTGCTCCCTAGTCTCGCTGTGCCTCGTTAAGGTTGATACTATCTCGGGCTCCCCTATGTCCCCCTATTCGTACATGCTCTGGTTCCTTACTAGTGGTATTTTCTCCTAAGGTATATGCTCCTCGTACCCCCTACTTAGTATTCCATAGTCTATTATAAATGAAGATAATTACTCGCGTAATTACTCGCGTAATTACTCGCTCTCGATTAAGCGGTAGTTAGTGTAGTGGTGCGGTGGATCTAGGCCACGTAGCCTTTTCGATGTCTATTTATATGGGTCGCGCACTCATATTTTCATCAGTTAGACTTAGACCTGTAGATATTACGACCTACAGCTATTCACTCGTTTCTTGCCATGCCTTTCTAGCTATCCTCCTTTACCCCTTTTCTAGTCTCTCTCTTCTTTTTTTTTCCTTTCCCAGCTGCCGTTTTCAGCTGGCCGATCAACCGATTACAGCTGTTTACAGCTGTGATCTTGGTTGATCGGCACTGGGCCAGTTGTTGGCAGTTGGGCAGTCCTTGTTTCGTGCCTCCATCACAGCGTGCCTACGCTGCTCCTGTTCATTAGCTATATATATAATATAGTAGTAATCGCTTTAATATTAATACTAGGATTTAATTTCTTTTGTTACTATCGGGCGCGTTCGCGTACGTTATTCTTATTAACCGATTCTACCGTTTCTTTTACGAAGGCGGTTAAGCGTAAATATATCTAAGATTTCTCGCTCTCGAATTAAACGTGCCTCTTTCTCTTCCTTTCTTCCCTAGGTTATTTATCGTAAGTATATATACCTAATTATAATTAAGTAATTCTATTAATTACGCGATTGTAAGTTAATATAATTAATAAAGCTTCGTTAATTATTATCGCAAGGTAAGTTTATTCTTTTTATAGTCTACGTAAAGCGTAGCTCGCGTATTATACGAGTCGTAATATATTCTTATTAAGCGATCGTAAAATAAAAGCTTAACTTATCGCGGTAAGGGTTATTATTTATAATTAATATATTACTTTTAATATTAGAATATCCTAAGATAATAAAGCGACCGTTAATTACTTTAGGTTAATAGATAGAAAATTATTCGAGATAATCCTTTTATTACTTACTCGCTATCTATCGGTAATAATATAATACCATAATTAACGATCTTTTAATATATCCGATACTCGAGAGCTACGTAAGATCGTATTAGCGCTTTAAAATACCGTAGCTTCGTTAGAGTAAAAGGTACTCGGCTTCTTCGCCGCAAGTAATTAATCTTTTACCTCTCGTACTTAAGTTAGTAGCTAAGCGTATGTTATATATACGGAGGTAGCGCTAAACCTTCGGCCGGTAGCTAAGCTTACCGCGGAAAGGTATCCTTTACTCCCGGGTCCGGGGCCCTAATTATCGCTTAATTTCTCGAGGACTTATTTATCGATAGCGATATCGATATAATTATACCTAGCCCCTTAACGCGTCGTATCCCGGCCCTAGTTACTCGCGGCCGTTAAGCCTTAGCGTCCTGAGCTATCGAGCTCTTTAGTAATAAGTCTTTTAAGGAGTAATCCTCGGAAGAAGACTCCCCTTTCTTATACGAGGGAATAGGCGTCTAAAGCGACTACCTTATTACGCCTATTACTCGTAATGTTCTCCCGCGTAAAACCCGCTTATAAACTCGCGTACGTTAGGTTACGTCGTCTGGTAATATCATTATTATTCGCGCTTCCTAAGCGGCTGTTATTATTATTATTCCGACCCGTAGTAATATTACTAAACGAGAACGAAAATAAGGACGTAATCGTAACGCTTTATCGGCTTCTAGAATAATTATTAACCTTATTAATTCCTTTAGCCCGGCCGCTCCGGCGGTTCCTTTTAATATTTCCGTCGCGCCGGCCGCTACGGCCTTTGTTATTATTATTCTAGGAATTACTTTACCTATCCATAATCGAAAGTACGAAGCTTGTCGTATAGTTCCTTACTTAAGCTATATACGTAATACGGCTTAGAATAAGTTAATTAAAGAATACTTCGATTTTTTGTAGAGTACCGGTTATTATTATCGTTATTTATCTAGCTATACCTACGTATCTTTATAAATACTCTTACCCCCGTACGTCGAGGTCTAGAGCTAACTTTACGTAGGACCGATACTTTAATCCTACCGGCTACCTACCTTATTATCGCCCGTATCGAATCTTCGGCTGACGTATAAGCTTTATTCCGCGTTATTTAATACTTACTAACGTTACTTATAAACCCTTAAGCTTGTTACGATAATAAAGGAGCTCTTAACCTTTTATTAAGATAAAGAGGAAGCGCCCGCGGTTCCCGAAACCGTAGAGTTACGACGAAGAGTAGCTAACTCTGGTTAGTTTATTTAGCTAGGCGTAAGTCCTTTAGCTACCGGGTTATCGATTACCGTAGCCGCCCCTAGCTTTATACCTACTAATTCTTCGAATGCTTTAATTAGCGTAAGTAACGTTTCCGCCGCCCTATCGACCGTAATACTTAGCGTAGCTTCGTTGGCTACCGGCCTCGAGCTAAAGTTAGACGTAGAGATAGAGGACGTCGGAAACGAGGGGAAGGGAGAGTAATCTTCCGAGGAAGTAAAGTCCGAGGTCGCTCGCGATCCTCCTTATATCTTATTTGAGTAATATTATAGTGGTACGGTAAGACATGCCCTCTTAATACATTACGTAATAGGTTACGATAGGCCTTATACCTATATAAAATAAC